CTATGATTTCAGCAAGAGAGCCCGGGCAGGAAATTTGTAGAATTTTTGTGAAAAAGCATTGGGTTTTTGATGTTTTTATGTTGAAATGCTTGCAAACACACGGTGTTCGGTAGGATTCTGACATGAACGCGCGCGTGTGCTCTTTGTGGTATTTTTTGCAATGGATTATCGCCGTGGACGACAGGACGTCCATGTCGAGAGGAAAAAATAAGAAACATGTTGATTTTGTATTGTTTTTTACAGGTTAGGATGGGACCCCCTGGATGCGGCCCCTAATGGCCGGCTGAGGGGGGAGTAGGAGTATATTCTAATAACGGATAAGGATAGGAGTAGTAGTCAAGCTAGCCAGCTCGAGCGAGTCAAACATGGCATGCCCAGTCCCACCCGCCCTCCCACAACATAAGAAGCAAAGCTGGCACAACTGGGGGCCGAAGTCACACCGGCCAGCCGGTTTGGTACAGCTGATGCGGCCGCGATGGCGGTTGCCGACGGGAACTGGCGAGCGCGTGTTGAATGCCGCGCACGCATTGCCAGACGAGTCGAGAATGGCCCGGTACACCGCAGGAAGCCAGAGGTGGCCGGAGGAAGCCCGACGGTCTGACAGGACACCCCAAAGCATTTTTGTGAAAAAGCATTGGGTTTTTGATGTTTTTATGTTGAAATGCTTGCAAAACACGGTGTTCGGTAGGATTCTGACATGAACGCGCGAGTGTGCTCTTTGTGGTATTTTTTGCACAGGATAGCATTCAGAGCATCGCGAGTGCACGCGCGATGACAGTGCGAGTGCACCGCGCGATGACGCGAAATCGCTGGATTTGACCGAATTCTTAAGATTCCTATGGTTTTCCTATGATTTCAGCAAGAGAGCCCGGGCGGGAAATTTGTACAATTTTTGTGAAAAAAAACATTGGGTTTTTGATGTTTTTATGTTGAAATGCTTGCAAACACACGGTGTTCGGTAGGATTCTGACATGAACGCGCGCGTGTGCTCTTTGTGGTATTTTTTGCAATGGATTATCGCCGTGGACGACAGGACGTCCATGTCGAGAGGAAAAAATAAGAAACATGTTGATTTTGTATTGTTTTTTACAGGTTAGGATGGGACCACCCGGATGCGCCCGCTATCTGCCGGCCTGAGGGGGGAGTAGGAGTATATTCGAATAAGGAATAAGGATCAGAGTAGTTGTAGGAGTAGTCGTAAGAGTCGGAGCAGGAGGAGTCGAAGGAGTCGGAGTCGGAGTAGTAGGATGAGGAAGAGTTATAGTATGTAGGAGACGGGGTAGGAGTGGGAGTAGTAGCAGGAGTCGGAGCATGAGTAGTAGCAGGAGTAGTAGGAGTAGCCGGAGTAGGGGTAGGAGTAGGAGTAGCAGTATTAGTAGTAGTAGTAGTAGTAGTAGTAGTAGTAGTAGTAGAAGAAGTAGAAGTAGAAGTAGAAGTAGAAGTAGAAGTAGTAGAAGAAGAAGGAGTCGGAGCATGAGTAGCAGTAGGAGTAGTAGGAGGCGGAGTAGGCGTCGTAGCAGGAGTAGTGGGAGTCGGAGTAGGAGTCTCAGTGGGAATAGTAGGGGTCAGAGTAGTTGTAGCACCCGTTAAACACATTACCCACAGACAGTACGCAAACACACTACGCAACAACACTACGCACGAGCACAACGCAAACCGAATACCACGCGAACGCAGTACGCCAGAGCAGTAGACGAAAGCATCACGCGAACACGATACGAGAACAAAGGTGATTCAAACAAAACAAGTTGGACGAACTAAACACACTGAGCGAACACCTTACGCAACCAAAGCGCTGCGCAGAAACGCTACGCAAAGAAACGCTTCTCAGAACCGCTACGCAACAAAACAACACTGCGCAGAAACGCTGCGCGGCGAAAGCGCCACGCTACAACTCATACGCCGAAGAACGCTACGCACACATGTGGCGCCGAAGTACATCACGCGAAGACCCTGTGACACAACCCTATGCAAACACCACGCAAAATAAATCCCACGCAAAAGCGTCACGCAAAACAACACCACGCAAAAACACTACACAATAGCACTACGCAAAAGCGCTACGCAAATACACTTACGCAAAAGCACTACGCAAAGACACTACTCGAAAACACCACGCGAAAACACTACGCAGATTTTTCCAGCATGAGGATGACCTCTCTTTTCCTATATATTTTCCTGGGAGTCGACAATCAATTGTGTCTGTGTTATTTTCACCTCCAGAAGAGCCAATACCCGAGTCGTCGCGATCTTGCCGAACTTGCTGGACAGGATCCAGTGCACGACCTTGACCTCCCAGGAGGGCCAACTCATAACACCAGGATTTGTCAGTCCAGTTTGGAGTCCAGCCTTTTCGGGTTGACCCAAAAGGGGGTCCAGCGACAAGGGGGTGGTGCAATGGAATTGGTGCAATAGATTTGTGGGGTTGCAATACATTTGGGGCGTGCAATACATTCCGGGGCGCCAATGTATTGCTGGATTTCCGCGTGCAATACATCACTTGCAATACATTGGAATACAAGTCTCCGGCGCAGTACAATTCCCCCAAATCTATTGCACCACCCCCTTTCAGCTGGACCCCTTTTTGGGTCACCCCGAGATTTAATCGTCTCTGGTTATGTTCTAGGTCTGGAGAGCTATGTTTCATAGTTCTGGCAGGTCAGAGTATCCGCATATTTCCTTCTCCAGGCCCTCCTCGCGCTGCGAAAAAAAAACATGGCGGAGGGCTTTTCGCCATTTGCGGCCTCAGGGGGCCCTCGCCGGGCCCCAGGGACGCGGACAAGACTCAAAGCATCATGTGGGACAGCCCTTGCGTTGCCAAGAAGTCACGTCGCAGGGTTTTTCGCCAGGTTCGGCCTCGCGGGGGCCCTCGCCGGGTCCCAGATCATCGACGGCTCGAGATGGGAACCAGGACCCCTGGGAAGGGTCAAGACCTCCAGGGTGCCACGTTGTAAGGATCTCGTCGTCGGATGCCTGGATTACTCTGTACACATCCACATCGTTCATCATCCCCCCCATCCCAGGAAGCAGGAGGACGATCAGAGATGGAGGGGGAGTGAGGAGAAAGAAAGTGCGCCTGCTTTACCCAAGGAAGCCCCTGGGGGTCTGAACCCCCTGCCTCGGACCAGTTCTGCATCCCGAGCTGCTTCTGGACGTTCCCCTGAGCCTGGAGAGGACCCCCCAGGCCGAAAGTGGCTAAAGCTTTGCGTCGGCGCGATTTCTTTCACAGCGTGAGGAGCTTCGGGGCAGGGAGGCGGAAGCTGTCTGGCCTGCTACGAGGAACAGAGAGGACGCTTCAATCGGCGCGCACTAGTTGTAGCATCTAGTCCCCACGACCTCTCCGTAAGATGCGTGTCGACGTTCGCGCGGCGGTGCTGCTACGCAAGTCCGACGTGAATTCGACGTAAATCCGCCGTAAATCGGGCAGACATCCGACGTAAATCCAGCGTCCGTAGTGCATGGGGTCTAGAGTTGCCGCGCGAGGCCTCGCGGCCACGCGGGCTGGACCCCTGGGCCGCGACCCCGCGGATAAAGGGCGTTTTTGTTAGCGGATGCCCCGCGCGGCGCGTACCCGTGCGGCCACGCATCCGCGAGACCGCGCCACGGCATCCAGACCGCGAGGGCGCGGCTACACGGATATGTCCGCCGTTCGTGGCATATCCGACATAAATCCGACGTGCACGAGGTCTCAAGTTGCTGCGCGAAGCCTCCAGCTTGTTCTCTTCGTGGACGGCGCCAGTGCACTGCTGCCGTCGCCGATGCATTGGCGATGCGGCGCGACCCTCCGACCCCATCTGCTCGGGCCCCATCTGGGACAAAGGGAAGTCTCGGCCAGGCGAAACTCGGCCAGGCACAACTCGGCCAAGTTCAGCCTGGCCGAGTTTGGCCGAGTTTCTCCTGGCCGAGCTTTCTTGCTGCCTCTTGGAGATTATGGGAGGCCTCCAGAAGAGGAAGGGGGTGGATCGGACGAGGCCAGGACGAATAGAAATCCGTTCCAACGCTCTCAGAGCGTTGCAGAACGCTCTGAGAAGGCCGCAGCGCCCGAGACGTCCTCCATGGCCGCGGAATTTCAGAAATTCTCGATCTATCCTCGCCCGCTGTTGTTCTCGTCCTCGCCTCATCTTGGTGGACCTCCACAGCCCCCCCGCGACGGTCCCGGCCAGGTCAGCCCTGTACCCAGGGTGGGAGGGAGAGGTTGGAGGAGGGAGGACAGAATGAGGAGGGGTGGGGGGGTAAGAGGAGGAGGAGGAGAAGGAGGAACAGCAGCAAGAGGAGGAAAGGAGGAGGATGGGGGAGGAGGAGGAGGAGGAGGGAGGAGGAGGAGGAGGAGGAGGAGGAGGAGGCGGAGGAGGAGGAGGAGGAGGAGGGGGAGTAGGAGCAGGAGGAGGGGGGACGAGGCAGAGGAGGGGGTTGAGGAGGAGAAGGAGAAGGAGAAGGAGGAGCAGGAGCAGGAGGAGGAGGAGGAGGAGGGGGATGAGGAGGAGGAGGTGGAGGGGAAGGAGGAGGAGGAGGAGGAGGAGGAGGAGGAGGAGGAGGAGAAGGCGGAGGAGGAGGAGGAGGAGAGGAGGAGGAGGAGGAGATGGTGGAGGAGGAGGAGGAGGAGGAGGAGGAGGAGGAGGAGGAGGAGGAGGAGGGGAAGAACGAGAGTGGACCTCCACAGCTGCTAGGCCCCCGCAGGACGCCCGCCGTCGGGGCCGTGCGGGCGGCGGCGGCCGCGGCCTTCGGCCTGGCGCGCCCGGGCGCGAGCCCGCCAGCGCTCGTGGCGATGTCGGGGGCGCGGGGGGGCGAGGCGCCCTGGCGGCGGCGGCGGCGGCGGCGACGAGAGCGGCGACAACGACGAAGGCGGCGGCGACAACGACGAACGCGGCGGCGGGGGCGTCGAGGACGATGCCGATGATGCTGCTGATGATGATGAGGATGATGATGATGAGGAGGAGGATGATGACGATGATGGTGATGCTGATGCTGATGTTGATGATGATGATGTTAATGATGATGCTGATGCTGATGCTGATGCTGATGATGATGATGATGATGATGATGATGATGATGATGATGATGATCATGCTGATAATGATGATGATGATGATGATGATGATGACGATGACGATGATGATGATGATGATGATGATGATGGTGGTGATGATGATGATGATGATGATGATGAGGATGATGATGATGATGATGATGATGATGATGATGATGATGATGATGCTGATGATGATGATGATGATGATGATGGTGATGATGATGATGATGCTGATGGTGGTAATGGTGATGGTGATGGTGATGGTGATGGTGATGGTGATGGTGATGGTGATGCTGAGGAGGATGCAGAGGAGGGGGAGGAGGAGCAGGAGTAGGAGGAGGAGGAGGAGGAGGAGGAGGAGGAGGAGGAGGAGGAGGTAGCGGAGGAGGAGGAGGAGGATGTTGTTCCGATTTTCGACAGCTGCGACGACCGACCGACGCCAGTTGCAGTAGCCCAACTGCGCCGCGGCCTCCTACTGCACATCAAGGTGGGCATACTCTACAGCCCCTCTTCTGAGCCAGCTCCATTCGCGATCACGTTTTTCAAGAGGAACGTCGCCAACATGGCCATCACCAAGATCAACAAGTTGATCGAGGCCCAGGGTGGCGACCCAACAGGCAACACAGTCTGGCAGACATCGGCCCACGACGAGGACGCCACGCAGGGACCACCCAACTGGGGAGCTGCGATGAAGAGCCACCCTATCCACGACCAACCGAACACATTGACACTCAGCGACACTTCCACTGAGCCCACGCACCCAGGCTCACCACCGGCAGCACCCGCTCTACAACAGCACGAGGCACGATACAGCGCCAACCCCATCAGCATGCTTGACCGTCTCGCCGCGGAACTCGGCCAGTTCTCTCCGCAACGTTTGAATGCGGACACGTACCCATGGCTGGCAACCGCTGCCAGCACCCCGAAGCAGGTGCTGGCACCAAACCGCAGGATGGTCGCTGAAGCCAGCACCACGACACTTGCCGACGACATCGACGACACGAGCCACCATCCGCTGACAGCAGAAGATGTGGCCCAACTCGGGGGACGGGAGCTGGACAACGCCAAGAACCAGTCTACAGACGAGGCCAGCACCATGGACGTAGCCATCCCGCTCGGAGCAGAGCCAGCATGGCAACCGTGTCCATCGTTCACAATCGCATACAAGCTCGACTACTCGACCAGCCTAGTGAAAATAGGAACTCCCTCCAGGTCGCCCACAACCAACGAGGCACAGGCCTCACGATAGGACCGGCCGAACTGCGACCCATTATTGCGTCATGAACACTTTGCCCCAGCGGATCGACAGCAGACGCAACCAGAGGCCAGCTGCCCCTTCCCATGTCCATTTCCCGGCCTTATTTTCACCCATCAGACGCACGCATTGAACAGCCAGCACGCATTCACCCCCCAGCCGCATTGAACGGCCCGCACCGACTACCTACTTATTATTACTTCTATCCACTGCTCCCAGACGACGGCATATTCCAAACTATGCGGGCACCTTAGTGGCCTTCACGCAGCACAGCACTACGGCGAGCACAAATTAAATTTGCAATGTTATGCAGTGGGTCCACGGTACCACAGAGCTCCACAACACGCCGTGTATTCCTCTCCTGCATATGCTCCTTCACCGACGTGCCGCGAATGTGCAAGCTGCACCAGACCAGTGGATAGAGTTCTCTCATGCGCCACCTCGGTGGGGGCCTTAGCCAACAGCTGCGAGCTCGGGCGACCCCAGGAGTCAACACGAAGAGCCTCTTTTTCCACTTGTCGTTGCGCCTTCAACCAACCTTCGCTCCCTACTGGCTCACCTTCTTGTTGCCCCCGCCCCCCCCGGCCTTTCACCTCTAGCCTACTCCTTCCCACTCGTGTGGCGGAGGGATCGATGTGGGAGTACGTATTACAATCACGTGGGTCGCGCACCGGAAACTACAATCTGCTGGCAAACCTGCCGGAGGCCGGGTCCGACCCAGCAACACACAGCTATAGAGCCTCGCAGCCGTCCCCATGTCCACCGCCCGCATGCATCGCATTCCCAGCTAACGTAGCACTCCCCTCTTTTCTACCATTACGCAGCCGTCGGCAGCAAGGGTCTTGGCTATGGCAGCCACGGGCAACAGCCCCGGTGCAGCCCACGCCAGCTCACCTGGGCATCACGACAGGCCGTCCGGGCGCCCGCAGCAAACGAAGAACGCGACGCCGCCAGCCTCTCCCCGACTTGCCGTGGGCAGCTATGGCGTTGGCCAAGGCCGCCGCGGGCAGCAGCCAAAGGGCGACCCACGCCAGCTTACAGGGCATTCTGGCCGCAGCTGGCTCTCCCCTCCTTCTGTGCCCCCCCCGTTTTGCTGCAGCACTGCAGGCACAGCAGCTGCCACATAGAGGACGGTTTGGGGGGAGGATCTTGGCAGGGGTGGCTACACAGACAACCGTGCCACCGCCATGGACCGCACAAACCTCCCCGACGCCTGGTGGAACCCCCCCAGGCGGCCGCCAGCCTGGCGGCCTGGGTATCCTACGCCTGCTCGGCACGTGATGGTGCCAGTCGCGGGGATAGTGGACGCGCGGGGGGGTTCCTATGGGCAGGGGGAGAGGCTCTTGCGCCGTTCACTTCGGCAAGAGTGGCACCGCCCGCGTGCGCTGCCCCACGCTGCCACCAGCTGCGCTCACACCGTAGACCAGACCACCGCCATGGACGGTTCAAGCTTCCGCCATGCTCGGTGGACCCCCCCTTGCAATCCCCAATCCACCGACCTGGGAACCTTTCGCCTGCTCGCAGGCGAGAGATCCCGTCGTTTACCTGGGGAACGCATGTGGGGGTTCCTATGAGCAGGTGCATGGGCCCTTGAGCCTTCCAGATGCGGTCGCCGTCCCTTCCTCCCTTCTCCTCCCTCCCTGCCCCCTCTTCCACCTGTCTGAGTTTCGCACAACTTGTACGTTTACTTCCCACCAGCCATCGACTCCTGGAGCGAACGTCCCAGGAGTCGCCTGGCTCTTAGCTCGGTGGCCCCCGCGGGCCGACCGATCCCGATGGAAGAGGGCGGCGTCCGTCGGATCTTTTGCGCCTTCAGGCACTGAGGATGGTGATGGTGGTGGTGACGATGGGGGTGCTGGTGTTGATGATGATGATGATGATGATCATGATGATCATGATGATGATGATGATGATGATGATGATGATGATGATGATGATGATGATGATGATGATGATGATGATGATGATGATGATGATGATGACCATGGTGGAGGTGATGAGCATGATGGAGCATGATGGCGGTGGTTGTGGTGTACGACGACGACGATGCTGATGAGGATGGCGATGATGGCGGTGATGACGGTGATGTTGATGATGGTGGTAGTGTTGATGATGTTGGTGGTGATGATGATGGTGATGGCGATGGTGATGGTGATGATCATGGTGATCATGATGATTGCGATGATCATGACATGCTGATGCAAGGCGGGCGAGGCGCCCGGATCCTGCAGAGCGCTCTCAGGATTAGAGATGTGACTGTGCCGAGTATGGCAAACGCGATCTCCGTGGAATTTTCTCATTGCATCTTCCCACGAATTCCCGCGAACCTACCATCTCCGACAAACTTTCCTGCGAATCTCCAGGTACAGACTCGCGCCTTAGAACAATTCTGGCGAATCTCAAAGATGCCGTCGCGCCTGAAAAATCCTCTTACGAATCTCCGACAAATCTTCGCGCCTTCGAAATCTCGAGCGACATCTCCGCCAGAGATTTCCCAGAGGTCTGCAAGAGATGGTCTGAAGATGTTCTTGAGATTTCTGCCCGCAGGAGGCTTTTCGGAGATTTGCTGGACATGTTCCACAGATTTCCCGGACATTTTGGAGATTTCCTGCAGATTTTGTTTAGAATACCCCACGCCAGAGATTTTCCATTGGTTCTCCTGGATATGTGTAAAGCCCTTACATTATTCGGAGATTCACCCAGAGATTGTAGAGCCCGGAGGTTTCCTCCGGAGATTTTGGGAGTGCCCAAATAACATGTGGAGATTTCCCTGGAGAGCTTCTGGAGATTATCTTGAGGGCCCCGGTAGCGTTTGCCATCTCGATCTAACCTTAGGAGCGCCCAGCCATGCCCCAAACCGCGCCCACACATCGCCAAACAAACGTTCCAAGCCATGCCAAAAACAACGCCCCAGAGCGTTCTCAAACCACGCCCAAGCCACCCCACCAGATCGCGCCCAACTTACGCTCAAAACATTCCCAACCCATGCCCCGTCACGCACCGGGCCCCAAGAATGGGCACGATCGAAAGTTGGAGTCTGCTGGGGCCCTGATGTGGCTCAGCACTGGTCCTGGCCAGCAGAATGGGAGGGGGCGGCCTTGTTCGTCCCTCTTGGACCTCCTGGGGGGTTTCTCGTCACCACGGGCGCGGCCTGAACAATTGATGCGTCAGGGCCCCGGGAGGGGTCAGGGGAATGATTTTACATGGGTTAGGTTTCCTCCCCCGCTCGTTGCCGATTTCTCGGGGCCCATGCATCCAGCGGATCCCGACCACCCCCAAGCCCTGGAATCGGTACGACCGAGATGCGTACGTCCATTTTGAACAGGGCTCGGTGTCGCATGTTCGTGGGGCGCCCGGCGCTGCTGGGCTGCGGTCGTTTTCCAGAGGGGCTGTGGCAGCGCGCATGGAGATGAAACAGTTGCTTCGTAGCTTGTCGTAGGGGTTCGGGACTGTACTGCCTCCCCGCGGGGGGGTGTCTGCGTACATTGTTGCGTTGCCGTGCGGCGGAGAGCTGTGGAGAGCTCCTGGGGAGCAGTCTTGAAGCCTCTCAGGAGCCTCTTGGGGGCTTCTTGGAAGCCTCTTGGGGCTCTCTGGGGGCCTCTGGGGAGGCCTCTGGGGGTCCTCTTCGGGCCTTCTGGGCGCCTCTTGGTGCCCAGAGCTCGGACCTTCCATTCGGGCGTCCTCTGTGGGTCCCCTCTGGGGGCCGTCCTGGGGCTCTCTGGGGCCTTCCTGGAGGCCTGAGGCTGCTGTGGTCGAGCCCAGTGCCAGCTGCAGGCTGTGGGGCAACCGCCCGTGCCGCCTTCTCCAGCATGGGCCGGGGGCGCGCGTGGTGGGATCACGCCTGGAACAATTTCAACACAGAGTGCGGAGCCCGCCCGGGCTCCTGGGCCACGCCGCCCCTATATATCGTGCCCCCGCCCCGCAGGTGGATCATTTTGCTGACAGACGGAGGGACGGAAATCTGACTATTCTGCTTCTTTGGACCTTCTGCGGAGTGCTCTTGGAGGCCTCTTCGGCCGTCTGGGGGCCATCGTGGGCGTCCTGGAGCGATCTTGCCGTGTCCCAGAGGCCTCTAGGACCATCTGGATGGCCTCTTGGGGGCCTCTGGGCTTCTCTTGGGGCTCTCGGGAAGCCATGCGGGCTGCGCCCAGGAGCAGAACCATCTCTGCTGGGAGCTCGCCAGGGACCTGTCATGGGCCGCCCCGCGCGCGCGAACTAGAAATGCGGTTCACCAGTTACCGAAGATTTTAGCACGCCTCTGGCCCGTTGGGCCGGCGAGTTAGCTTCTGCAGGCAGAGCGTCACCGAGCGCGTGCCACCACTCGCAGAGTGCCTGCCCGCAAACGGCAGAAAACAACACACGCACACACACGTCCGCCTCGTTGTGATGTATCGGACATCCCCCGCGGCGGAGCCAGGACATGTGCGGGCAGTTACCCTGCGAGCAGCGGGGCTCGCTGGTCCAAAACGGGGGGGGAGGGGCAGGATTAAGTCGGGCCTGTCCTTCTACAGGGGAAATACCCCAAACAGTAAACAATAGTCTGGGAATGTTTTTTGGCTGTTTTTCTCACAACCATCCTGTGGTGTTGGGTCCTCGTTTTGAAACGACGGCGCCCCGCGTTCTTCCTCTCCTCCTCCTCCCTCCTCCCCCTCCTTGCCTCTGCCCTCCGCATGTCTCTCTGTCGGCACACCCCTCACACGTTTCGTGGCCCTATAGGAAGCTCCAACTACGGTCCCAGTGGCGGATCTCACATGGCGGCTTCGGGCGATTCCGGCACACCCCTCACACAGCTCGTGGCCCCATAGGGAGCTCCACCTAAGGTCACAGTGGCAGAACTCGCATGGCGGCCTCGGGCCATTTCGGCACACCCCTCACGAGGATCGTGGCCCCATAGGGAGCTCCACCTAAGGTCCCAGTGGCGGAACTCGCATGGCGGCCTCGGGCCATTTCGGTACATCCCTCACGAGGATCGTGGCCCCATAGGGAGCTCCACCGAAGGCGCCAGTGGCAGGGTTCGAATGGCGGCCTCGGGCGATTCCGGCACACCCTTCACGAGGATCATGGCCCCATAGGTAGCTCCACCGAAGGCGCCAGTGGCGGAACTCGCATGGCGGCCTCGGGCCATTACGGCACACCCCTGACGAAGATCGTGGCCCCATAGGGAGCTCCACCGAAGGCGCCAGTGGCAGGGTTCGAATGGCGGCCTCGGGCGATTTCGGCACACCCCTCACGAGGATCGTGGCCCCATAGGTAGCTCCACCGAAGGCGCCAGTGGCGGAACTCGCATGGCGGCCTCGGGCCATTACGGCACACCCCTGACGAAGCTCGTGGCCCCATAGGGAGTTCCACCGAAGGCGCCAGTGGCAGGGTTCGCATGGCGGCCTCGGGCCATTTCGGCACACCCCATCACGAGGGCCCAGGAAGGTGCGGATTCACTATCGGAGGCCTATCGCCGATCTGTCGGCGATGTATCGCCGATTCTAGGTCGATGTTTCCCCCCCTTTCCCTATCCCCCCTTATCGTTGCCCCTCAGGGGGGGCCCGGGGCGGCGGTCGTTTTCGGGGAAACGTAAGACTCGAGTAATCCCGAGCTCGGGCTTGTCGGCTTCTTTCTGACGAGCATGTCCTGGATTTTGGCGGTCCCGTTTTCGTGGGATGCTTGCAGCGGGAGCTCGCGTCGAATTTCAGAGTGAGCCTCGTCATGTTTTATGATGGCCCCGTCGGGCCAACCCGAGTCCCCCGTACCCGAGTCTTACGTCTTGTGTTGTGTTGTGTTGTGTTGTGATGTGTCGTGTTGTGCTGTGTTGTGTTGTGTTGTGTTGTGTTGTGTCGTGTTGTGTCCTGTTGTGCTGTGCTGCGCTGTGCTGTGTTGTGTTGTGTTGTGTTGAGTTGTGTTTTGTTTTGTGCTGTGCTGTGCTGTGTTGTGTTGTGTTGTGTTGTGTCGTGATGTGTTGTGCTGTGTCGTGTTGTGTTGTATTGTGCTGTGCTGTGTCGTGTTGTGTTGTGCTGTGCTGTGCTGTGCTGTGCTGTGCTGTCTTGTGCTGTGTTGTGTTGTGTGGATGGTGCCCCAGGGCCCCTTTGGGGCCGCCGAGGTGCTGCTGGACGACGCGGCCACGCTGCTGCAGGCGCTGGGCGGCGGCCCCGGCCGCCGCGCGGGCCCCGAGGTGCTGTGTGTGGAGGCCCCCCGCGGGCAGGACGCCCCGCGGCCGCGCTGCGCGGAGCGCTTCGAGCTGGTGCGCAACACCGCCCACAGCCGGGGCAGCCCCGAACTCGGGCGGGGCCTCCTCTCGGCGGCGAGCCGCGGGGGAGGGGAGGAGGAGAAGGCCTGCTCGGGGGGCTCGGACAAGCCCCCCCCGGCCTGCTGCAGAGTGCTCTTGGCCTTTTTCCCCGAGACAGAAGGCACTTCCCGGAAGGCGCAAGGGCTGCGAAGAAGTCCCGCCGCCTTCTGAGAGAAGCCTGCTCGGGAGGCTCGGACAAGCCCCCCCCCCACCCCACCCGGCCTGCTGCAGAGTGCTCTTAGCCTTTTTCCCCGAGACGGAAAACACTTCCCAGAAGGCGCGAGGGCTTCGGAGCAGTCCCGCCGCCTTCCGAGAGAAGGCCTTCTCTTCAAGCTTCCCCCCTCGCTCGCCGCCAATCCTTCGGAGAAGAAACAGCGGCACACACAAATGTTCGACGCTCCGCGCTGATCTCTTGGATCTGCGACGGCCCCTGGCGCACTCCGCACGCCAGGGGCCCGGGGTGGGAGCGAGCCGGCGCAGATCCAAGAGGCATGCGCGGAGCGTCGGCAGTTCGGTGTACGGTCGGGGTCGATTAGTAGGTCGGCCTTGCCAAGTCCAGAGTACCCTTGCGTCCTGTGCTTCGCGACCCCTGCTTCCTACATTCCCGCGGCAACCTGGCCCTCGGAAGGGTCTCGTGACCTCTCGCGTGTCCTCTCCAATCCGCCCCGAGTGTATGCAGTTCGTTCTTCCTCTGCCCCGGGCCCTTTCCGGGTGGGCGGGGGCCAGGGGCTCGGCACAACGGGGCTCTCTCAGGGCTCGCTCTCTCCAGAGCTCTGTTCTGGCTCCTCTGGGGCTCTTCTTGGAGCTCTTTTGAGGACTCTTCGAAGGCTCTTCGGAGGCTCGTTTAGGGCTCTTTGGCAGCATCTTTTTCTGGTGGGCGAGGGGCAGAGGTGGGGTGTCGCCCCGAAGTGGACTCGGCACGTATTTACTGGCGCCCCGACGATGGCTCCGCCCTGGGATCGAGCACGGGGGCGCCTGGCACTGATTTCTTTTTGGCTCAGATGTGGCTTCGGTCCTTGTTCGGCGTTCCTCGAAGCCTTTGCTGAACTGCACCGCGGGAAGGTAGAACCCAGCGGCATAGACCCTCTATAAGGTCACCCCCAGTGGCGCGAAGGGCATCGCGCTTCGCCCAGGTGTGGCTCAGGAGGGGAAAAAACACAAACAGACACAATTCATCGCTGATCTCCAGGAGCATCTGGGAACATATGGGAGGTGGGGGGGAAGACAAACACCCAAAAAGCACAACACTACGATTAAACTTGGGATGTGTGTGTGTATTTATGTGTGTGTGTCCCTGGGTCCCTCTAGCTCTAGTGGTGGCCTGGCCTGGGCCCAGCGAAAGGAGCGCCCCCCTCTCGAGGGCGGCGGCGCGAAGGTTGCCTCGCGCAGCGCGGGGCGCGCGACCCGCGAAGTTGGGCGACCGACCCTTGGCACACAACATAGAGGAGGAGGAGGAGGAGGAGGAGGAGGAGGAGGAGGAGGAGGAGGAGGAGGGGAGGAGGAGGAGGAGGAGGAGGCGGAAGAAATAATAAGAAGAAGATGAGGAGGAGGAGGAGGAGGAGGGGAGAGGAGGAGGGAGGGACGGAGGAGGAGGAGGAGGAAGATGAGGTGGAGGTGAAGGAGGAGGAGGAGGAGGAGGAGGAGGAGGAGGAGGAGGAGGAGGAGGGGATAGGGGAGGAGGAGGGGATACAGGAGGGGAGGAGGAGGAGGAGGAGGAGGAGGAGAGGAGCCGAACGGGGCGCGGCAATGGGGATACAGTTTGGGTCCCCTGCCGAGAAACACCCTGCTTGCCTCCAGGGTGCCCTCGGCTTCTCGGGCTTTGCTGGTTCTGCCCTGGAACGCGCGACGTTCCCAACACTAAAGATCGATGGACATCCCGGGCTTTCAGGGTTGGGTTCTTTGTAAAAGGTGTCTTGTTTCGGGGGCGGAAAAGAGGGGGGGGGGTGATGACAATGGGGGGTGGATATCATGGCGGGGGCCATGATAGTTCCCCAGATCTCACGGCGCCTCTTCGTATTTAATCGCTTCGCTCATTCCGCCGGCCCGTATTTTGCCCTCGCTGGCGTTTGGGCTTTGGGGGGCCTTTTGGGGTCCTCGTTGGGGGTTTCTTGGGGGCCTCTTGGGTTTCTGTTGGAGCCTCTTTGGGGTTTCTTGGAGCTCCTGTGGGAGCATTTGGGAGCATCTTGGGGCTTCTGGGCGCCGCTTGGGGCCGAGGGCTCGATATGCCCGTTCCGGTTTCCACTTTGAGCCTCCTCTTTGGGCTGTCCTGGTGCCATCTTGGACCGTGTCGGAGGCCGCTTGGGCCGTCTTGGAGGTCTCTTGGGCCGTCTTGGAACCCTCTTTGGCCGTCTTGGGGCCCTGTCGGAGGCCTCTCGGGCCTCTTAGGGCGATCTTGGGGGCCTCTTGGGCCGTCTTGGGGCGTCGCGATGCCAAAAAGGTGGAAACGCCAACATCTCCCCAAAACCTAAGGAAAAGCAATGAATTGTGCCTCTTGGGGCCCTCTTGGGAGTGCTCTTGAAAGCCTCGTGGGGCGTCCGGGGGCTATCTTGAGCGGCTTGGAGCGATCTTTTGGCATCTCGGACCCTTGGTGTACCATCTTGGGGGCCTCTTGGGCGCTCTTGGCTCTTCTTGGGACTCTCTCTTCCGCTCCCGATTCTTGTTGTCTGGCCCCTAATTTGAGAAATCGGCCTGCCAGCAGATGCGCCACGGAAGCTTCTCGTCCCCCGATGGCCCCAGTGTGCCCCACGAGCGTTGGATCGTACGTGTTCACTGTAGGAGAGGCAATGCGCCGTCTTCGCTGGTCTTCTCCTGGCTCGGCTCAGAACTACTGGGAAAGACATGGGGGTTGCCCAGCGGCCACCCCATGGATCGCACGACAGGGTCATCCTGGTTCATCGGCGCAGCCGCTCCAGTGTCTGCTGTGGGACCTTCCATCTCAAAGAGCCGCGTCGAGTTCGGGCTGTCCAACATTCGGCGGCGAGCCCGGGGGGGAAGTGAGAAGGAGAAGGCCTTCTCAGAAGGCTCGAAGTCCCCCAGCCTTCTGAGAGGTATCTAAGCCTTTCCAGAAGACACGGATAGCTTATCAGAAGGCGCGAGGGTTCTGAGAAGTCCCGCTTCCTTCTGAGAATGCTTTCTCCTTCTCATTTCCCCCCCTCGCTCGCTGCTGACACATCGCTCTTAACCACCCGGATCGGCCTGAGGGCGCCTCGGAGTTGACGATCCCCATCGCCAAGACCGCCACGCTCGCGGCCCTGAAGGCGCAGGCTGCGGCTGCTCTCGGCCTGGACCCAGGTGGCGACCAGCATGCCGCTCCTCCTCCTCCTCCTCCTCCGACTCCGACTCCGATTCCGACTCAACGGCGACCCAGGCGCGGGCGTTCCCTTGGCGACCACAGATCGGCGGCGAGCGAGGGGGGGGGACGTGAGGAGGAGAAGGCCCTCTTAGAAAGGCGGCGGGACTTCTCAGAAGGCCTCAAGGCTTCTGATCGGTTTTCGGTGTCGTCAGGGAAGGTTGAGGAAACTTCTCAGAAGGCTACTGGGGGACTTCCCAGCCTTCTGGGAAGGCCCGCCCCTTCTCGCTTGCCCCCCGGGCTCGTCGCCGAGCAGAGGTGGTGTTACGCTGGGGTATGCTTTGCGATCGGCGCCGTTGGGGCTTCGGGGGTCACGCTGCGCCAAAGGCTGGGTGAGCCCGCGCCGGGGCGTGGCAGAGATCTCTGTCGTGGTCCTCGCCCGCCCCCCCAAGGCGCGGGTTGCAAGTCACACCCTTTGCAAACCACACCCTTCCGAGTCGCCGGTGAAAGGCTGAACGCACCTGCTAGGATCGCCGAGATCGCTCAAGGTTGAGTGGTTCACGCAGCGTCGGAGACCCACGCCGACGTCGTCACAGCACGAACCTACCGTGCTGCGTGGGAGCATTGCGCACGTGTTGCTAGCATTCCCCTCAGAGAAGACACCTGGGTGGCAAGCACTTCTACGAGTAGGCTTACACGACTACGTGCGCACCTCATGGACCACGTGGGTTGGGGGATCGGCGCAGCTGCCATTTTTTTGTATTGGCTTCTGATGGGGCTCGCATTCTGTCTCCATATATATGTGTATATATATATATATATATGTATATATATATATATATATATATAGATATAAATATCTGTGTATCCTCGCCATCTATCGAGCTCACTACCTACCCGTCGATCCCACAATCTGTTTATCGCCCCACGGTATACCCATTGATCTAACGACCTATCTACCGACATCGCTAATCATCTACCGATCTCGCGACCCATCGATCAACGAGTCTACCAGTTGATATCAGGATCATAATGTAGGTATAGACATGTACAAAAACATACACATAGATCGGCCTCGCTATCACCGATCACACTAGTCATATGCAGAAGCCCAATGAGGCCGCCCTTCCCGTAGCAGTTCTACGATTTGATGTTCGATTGTCGTATCCATTTGAAGGTCATTTTCAAATTTGATGTGATTTCGAATGCATTGAATCGCCGTTGGATGTGCATGTGGGGCTACATTTCGCTGTCCATTTCGATGTGCAGATCTGTCTGCAAGCGGACTCGCATTCTGGCGTACGTGTTGATTCGCACTTCGACGTACATCTCGACGTGCTTTTCGATATACAGGTCGATGCGGAAGTTCACCTAGATGTCAGTTGCATGCCGGTGCGATATGCACGTTTGACGGTTCGATTTGTGGGGGGCTCTTACTTCGTTCGCTCACGTCATGGGTTCGGCGTTCGGCGTCTTCGCCACGCTGCGGACCGTGCAGCCTCGTTGACGCACCGGGGCAGCATGAGGAGGAGGAGGAGGAGGAGGAGGAGGAGGAGGAGGAGGAGGAGGAGGAGGAGGAGTTGGAGGAGGAGGAGGAGGAGGAGGAGGAGGAGGAGGAGGAGGAGTTGGAGGATGAGGAGGAGGAGGAGGAGGAGTTGGAGGAGGAGGAGGAGGTGGAGGAGGAGTTGGAGGAGGAGGAATGCCGATGTTGCGCCACGTTGCCGCCCCTGCCGCCCCGTGGGCGCTCGCGGGCACCCCGTGCGCCAGGGTGGGTCCGCCGAGGGGGTGCGCCGCGCGGCCGCCCGTGCCGCCCCGCGGGCACTCGCGGGCGCCCCAGTCGCTGAGCTGACCCGCGCAGGGCGCACGGCAGTGCCTACACGGCGCCGACGGGAGGCAGCGCGTCTCTGCACGACAGCGGGTGCTCGCCCGCGCTCGCTGGCGCGGAGCAAGCAGGGGCGCAGCCCAGGCGGCCGAGTCTTGGCCCAGCGCGGGAGCATCGTCGCCGGAGCGCGCGTGCTGCCCACTGCCCGCTCACGCCGCGTGCCCTTGATCGCCTAGCCCCCGCCTCCCGCCCACATCGCAGATCGCACACGACGTCTACGACATTCCGTAGCTCACAGCGGGTATCCGTCGCCCCCATAGATCATATAGCTTGCAGGGCACAGCTCACACCATGCAGCTGGAACGCCGCACTGCCGCCGCCTCCACGGTGGAGTGTAGCTCAATGTGTCGAGGCCCCCGCTGGACAGCGTGGTCTGTCGGACTGACAGGCGGCCATCCTGGTATGACCTCGACGGGGGGGTTCCGTACTACAGTCAACGCGCTTAGTAAGGACGCGCGCCTTCATCTAGGGTGCCTTTGTGTCCTTGCCTCTGAGGCTCGTCCTTGCCATTATCACTGGTCGCCCGCCGCCCTAAATTAGCCTGACGAAGGACCCAACCATGTGCAGTTGCGAGTATCGCATTGTGGGTACCGGTTTCGGTGGAGCTCCTATGGGGCCACGAAACTTGTGAGGGGTGCGCCGAAATTGGTGGCGCGCACGCATGTGGACACCGCCACTGGGGCCTTCGGTGTAGCTCCCTATGGGGCCACGAAGCGCTGCCCTGGGCGAGGGAGACGCATGCGAACTGCGCCATTGGGACCTTCGCTGGAGCTCCTTATGGGGCCACGAAGCGCTGTCATGGGTGGGGGAGGCGCATGCGAACTGCGCCTCTGGCGCCTTCGGTGGAGCTCCCTATGGGGCCACGAAACGCTGTCCTGGGTGGGAGAGACGCATGCGAACACCCCGATTGAGGCCTTCGGTGGAGCTCCCTATGGGGCCACGAAGCGCTGTCCTGGGCAGGGGAGACGCACGCGCCCACCCCCACTGGGGCCTTCGGTGGAGCTCCCTATTGGGCCACGAAGCGCTGCCCTGGGTGGGGGAACCGCATGCGCCCATCCCCACTGGGGCCTTCGGTGGGACTCCCTATGGGGCCACGAAACGCTGCCCTGGGTGGGGGAACCGCATGCGCCCACCCCCACTGGGGCCTTCGGTGGAGCTCCTCATGGGGCCACGAAGCGCTGCCCTGGGTGAGGGAACCGCATGCGCCCACCCCTACTGGGGCCTTCCTTGGAGCTCCCTGTGGGGCCAAGAAGCGCTGCCCTGGGTGGGGGAACCGCATGCGCCCACCCCCACTGGGGCCTTCGGTGGAGCTCCCTGTGGGGCCAAGAAACGTTGCCCTAGATGGGGGAACCGCATGCGCCCACCCCCACTGGGACCTTCGGTGGAGCTCCCTGTGGGGCCAAGAAACGCTGCCCTGGATGGGGGAACCGCATGCGCCCACCCCCACTGGGACCTTCGGTGGAGCTCCCTATGGGGCCACGAAGCGCTGCCCTGGGTGGGAGAACCGCATGCGCCCCCCCCCCCCACACACACTGAGACCTTCGGTGTAGCTCCCTATGGGGCTACGAAACGTGTGAGAGGTGTGCCGAGAGCAGAGGCAAGGAGGGGGAGGAGGGAGGAGGGGGAGGAGGGCGGGAAGGAAGGAGGAGGAACGCGGGGCACCGTCTCTTCAAAACGAGGACCCAACACCACAGGATGGTTGGGAAAACAACAACTTCGGCCTCCAAGGGTCTTGCGTCCTTATCACCCGTCCTTAATATACGTTTTGACTGTACTACATTGGATAAGCAAGCGCGTGAAACACGCATGGTGCAAACCGCAAGCAGCACCGCAGCACCACCGCGCACGTCGGTGTGCATCTCGAGGTGCACGCCGATGGCAACGCCATGCCCCGTGTAGCGTGCATCTCGATGCGCGTGACAATGTCCATTTGCAATCAGGCGCTCAATATTTCAAGGGCGATCTCAGTGTCGACGAGCAGACGGTCTTCAGCAGCTTCTTGCTGCAACTGTTGTTTCATCGATGTCCCCGCGCAGTATTTGAACTCAGGGGCCCCTTGAGTAATTGGAAGAGTCCGCCTAGGAGTTTCCACGTTGCGGCCCCGTGTCGATTCGTGAGCGCTCGCGGGAGCCCCGTGCGCTAGGCGGGGTCCGCCGAGGTCGCGCCACGTTGCCACCCGTGCCGCCCCACGGACGGTCGTGGGCGCCCCGTGCGGTGAAGGGGGCCCTCGAGGTCGCGCCACGTTGCCTCCCGTGCCACCTCGAGGGCGCTCGCGGGCGCCACGTGTGATGAGCTTACACCACGTGGCCTGCATCACATAGCTCACACTACATAGCTGACACCGCATAGCTCGCATCGGATAGCTTGCACTACACATGTTGCACCGCATAGTCCCGATCTCGTGCCGACACCACATAGACTGCATGACGTGGATTGCGCCACATATCTTACGCTGCGTAGTTGTCCCCTCCCTAGCTCACACGACATAGCTCACACGCATAGCTCACACGCATAGCATGCACCGCAGTAACTCACTGCTTTTGGGTCCGAGCAATGATTGGGACGGTAACGGTTGCCCCGATTAGTTTTTTTGGCGCAGTTGGCCGTGTAGGATCCAGGTCTCACCCCATGCAAATGCAGCTGGTGGGCTTGTCATGAAGCCCCGACCGCAGATCGTGTGAGGCAGAGAGCCAAGGCGCTGACATTAGGACCGCTTTGGGTTCGGAAGCGGCTTGCGGCTCCTCGGATGTCTGCATGGCTGTTCCTCCAGCGCTCCTTCTGCACTCGGGGCGCTCTTGGGGCCCACGGGGAGCTCTGTCCGAACAGTACAGTCGGGGCGCCGAGGAAGGAATCCGTTTCGTTCGGGAGGGGCTCCGTGTTCCTTAATTGTTTCACAGTTTGCCTCAGGTTGCCCTGAGGTTGTCGATGGGAAATCTAAGCTTTGCTTTATGGGAGACAGGGGCCTCGTTCCTTATTTAGGGTTCCTTAGGCCCCGACTGGCGGCGCATCGACCAAGAAAACATGTTGCTAGCAGGTGCCTCACGGACCTTTCTTGGCACCCAAGGGCCCTACTTAGGGACCCAGAGAAGTTGTTTGGGGGGCCAGGACCCCCAGAGGGTCGACGACACATGTGCCCCAGCATGACTTATATCACAGTGTGTTATTGTCTGTGACTGCTCCTGTCTTCTTCAGCTCAGGTCGGCGTCACCCCAACATACTTACCCCATATGTGTGTCGCCTCCCCCCCAGGGGCGACGCGCGCACCGAGAAATCTGATAGTATATGCGTCGTGGCGGGCGCTTTCTGGCCACACCGCTCGGGAAACGATATACTACAAGATGGGTGTACAATGTGCTCGGGTCGGATGCGCGCCTCCAAGGAGGACATACAGTACTAGTACGTCTCTGTGCCTCCCATCAGGTGGCCTGCACCTGTCGCGCGGCCCCAAGGGCCCCCAGCTCAAGAACGAGGCCCAGACGCTGCGGGCCTCCGGCATCGCGGACAGCGGCCAGTGCTTCCTGGGCCACGGGGCCCCTTGCGGCGCGGACGGCTTCGTGCTGCGCGTCGGCCTCTACTCGGCTGCCGACAAGTCGGGGCCCGCCAGGGCCAAGGTCGGCGGCGGGCGATAGGGGGGGGGGAGTGAGAGGGAGGAGGCCTTCTAAGTGGGCGGCAGGTCTTCTCGGAAAAGCACTCGCGCCTTCTTCTGAGATGTTCATGTCGCAACTGTTCGGAAAGCCGGGGGGGCTCTTCTCGTCTTTCTTTCTCTCCCAGGCCATAGATGATCGCATGAGCTTGCCTATGACTCGGCTTGTGTAGCGGTCGAGGTTGCTTGGGGGTCCTCTGCTTCACGCGCCTGTGCCAGCCACGCAGCAGTGTGATTCAGTGATCGCGCGCTCCCCATCTCCTCTCCTCCTGAGGAAAACAACTCCTGAGCCTTCTGAAGGAAACAACTCCTCAGGAGGTGGCAGGACTTCTCAGAAAACCTCGTGCCCTCTGAGAAGTTTGTGCCACGTCTTTGGGGGAAGGCTTGATTGTACAACTCCTCGGGAGGCCGGAGGACTTCCGAGCCTCCTGAGAAGGCCTTCTTCCTTCTGCCGGTGGTCTTCGGGTCGAAGCCAGGGGGCCTCCGCCGGCCGTGCGGGGCGATTTGGGCACCCCCGGAAAGTCGTCGACCAGGCGCAGCTGCTGGGCAGCAGGCCGAGGCTGGAGAACCGCCGGAAGACACCTGGAACCCTCGACCGTCGAGCATCCCGAAGCTTGACGAGCCAACAGCACACATCCGTACCCACAGGGGGGGGCGGAGAGGGCTATGGGTGCGTGTTGTCGGATGGTCCCCGCTCGAACGGGAGCGTGCCCCAGGGTCCGACAACCCGCACCCATACCCATAGCCAGTCCTCCTCTCAACGACCCCCCTATGGGTATGGGTGTGTGTTGCTCGTTCGTCAAAGCTGGGCAGCGGCCGAGAAGCGACGAACCCATGTGAAGACCTCGCTAGGCCTCATGGATGGGGTCGGAGTAGATGGGGTCGGAGGTTCGCGTCGCATCGTCGATGCATCAGCGATGCGTCTGGATGTGGAGCCCGATTTTTTCCACGCTGGCGTCGCCGATGTATTGCCGATGTCGCCGATGCGTCGCCCATGCATCGGCGATGTATCGGCGATGCGGCGCGATTCTCCTACCCCATCTACTCCGTCCCCATCCAGGAGCTTCTAAACTGCCTTCCCCCCTCGCCCGCCGCCGACAAAAGGAGCTGTTCTCCCACTGCGCCAAGGCCGCCTCGTCGGTGCGCGGCCTGCGGCAGGCGATCCTGGAGCCGCTGGCGCGCTGGGCCTCGGAGCAGGACCAGCCCCTGCGCTGTGCCCGAAGGGAGGGGCACATACGGGGCGTGGCAATGGACCACGGTACATCCTCCTCCTGCCCCTTTTTCTCCTCCTCCTCCTCCTCCTCCTCCTCCTCCTTCTCCTCCTCCTCCTCCTCCTCCTCCTCCTCCTCCTCCTCCTCCTCCTCCTTCCCCTCCCCCTCCTCTCCCTCCTCCTCACCCTCCTCCTCCTCATCCTGCCCCCCTCCTCCTCACCCTCCTCCTCCTCCTCCTCCTCCTCCTCCTCCTCCTCCTCCTCCTTCCCCTCCCCCTCCTCTCCCTCCTCCTCCTCCCCTTCTCCCCCTCCTCCTCCTCTCCTCCTCCTCCTCCTCCTCCTCCTCCTCCTCCTCCCTCCTCCTCCCCCTCCTCCTCCAATTCCTTCTTCTCCTCCTCCTCCTCCTCCTCCTCCTCCTCCCTCCTCTCTCCTCCTCCTCCTCCTCCTCCTCCCCCTCCTCCTTACCCTCCTCCTCTTCCTCCTCCTCCTCCTCATCCTCCTCCTCCAGAGGCGCATCACATGAGATTGCAAACGCACCGCTGTGCAAACAAATGTCGAACGGTTGCTCCAGTGTGTCCGCTCCTCCCTTTCGGCGAGGAGCAGCCCCCGTTCGCGCCGGACGGGCTGCAGTGGCGCCGCCTGCGCCTGCGGGACGGGCACGCGGGCAAGCAGTTCGCCATCCTGCGGGACGACCGCACGCTCCGCGGCGCCCTCCTGGGCCTTGCAGACGGCCGGCATGTGGCCGTGCAGGTGCTCGACCAGGACCGAGCTGGCTTCCCTCCGGTCCCCCAGTTCCCCGTTTCCCCGCCTGGCCATCTCCCCTACTGCCCTCCGCTTGCTCGCCGCAGCTTCCTCCACTGGGGCCTGGGAGGGAGACCAGGACAGGCGCAGCCTCAGGACTTGGACTTGGAGCCTGGAGCTCGGCCTGGCCTGCTAAGGTGCGGGGCTCGTCCCCTGTGCGGAGGTCTGCTGTGCGGGCGTCGCCCAGGGCCAGTGAGAGGCAGGGCCCCTCTTGGCTGCGGCAGCCTGATCTGCTAGGTTGCCATTTCAGCGGATCTTCGCTTGGGGACCCTGCGCTCCCCGCCCTCGCACAAGGACTGCCCAGATCGGCAAACTTCGAAAGAAGGAGAACACCATAAGCATCAACTTTTGGCGGTCCGCGCGGAGTGCCAAACATTTATGTGTATGCTGTTGCTGCTGTCTCCGACTGGCCGTCGACCAGCATGCAGCTGTCCCGATCAGATAGGATGTCGCCCTGCCAGCGGGTGCCCCACAGAAGTCGGTGCTTCCCCGCTGGCATTAAGTCGGGCCTGTCCCTCTACAGGAGGAGTATTCAAGAATAGTAGAAACATAGTCTGGGGACGACTTTTCGACTACGGGTATTGTTTGACTATTTATACGCGTTCGTCCAACATCCGCCTGAAGGGGGACATGCCCGACCTAACGCTGGCACCGAGGAACCTTCCCATGGATGGAATCCTCGGGCGTGCCAGGTAGCTCAAAGATGGTGGAACAATGGCGACGGCAATGCTAATGGCGATGGTGATGGTGCTGGTGGTGGTTATGGTGGCGATGGTGCTGGTAATGGTGATCGTGATGATGACGATGGTGGTGTTGGCGATTGTGATGGTGATGGTGATGATAGTGATGAGGACGCTGCTGCTGAGGATGAGGAGGAGGTCGGTGGTGATGATGGTGGTGTTGACGTTGTTGCTGCAGTTGATACTGCAGCTGTTGCTGCAGCTGCTGCTGCAGCTGTTGCTTTTGCTGAGTGTGATGATAATGACGCTGACGATGATGATCAGGATGATGCTGATTGTGATGCTAATGCTGCTGCTGCTGGTGATGATGGTAATGATGGTGTTGCCTCTGCATGTGCCGATGACGACAATGATGGTGATGGTGATGATGATGATGATGATGATGATGATGATGATGATGAGTATGAGTATGAGTATGAGTATGATGATGATGCTGATGATGATGATGATTATGGTGGTGGTGATGATGACGGTGGTGGTGACGATGATGTTGATGATGATGATGGTGATGCTTATTTTCATGATGATGCTGATGATGCTGCTGCTGCTGATGGTGATGATGATGATGATGATGATGATGTTGATGTTGATGGTGATGCTGATTAGGAAGAGCGTGTCCTGCCGCTGCTGGCAGAAAACCGGAGGGGGGAAACCTTTTCCCCCCCTCCACAAAATCCGGGGGGGGTCACTGGGGGTTCCAACGTCCCCCCCCGGTCAATCATGAAAAAGGGTGGGGGTCACTACCAGTTCGAACCCTCCCCCCCTACTCCCTCTTCGCCCCGGGCAAACAACTCCCCATTCTCCCCCACTCCGGATGGGGGACTGGTGGGGACAATGGTTGGGACGGTGGTGGGGATGGTGGTGGGGAGTGGGGACAGTGGACAGTGGGACAGTGGTGAGGACAGTGGGGACGGTGTGGAGAGTGGGACCGTGGTGGGGACAGTGGTGGGGACAGTGGGGGCAGTGGGACCGTGGTGGTGAGGGCGGTGGTGAGGACGGTGGTGGGGACACGGGAGTCGTTCGCTTGCGGCGAGAGCGGGGCGGGGGTGCCGACCCGGCAGAGACCCCCCTTGGTTTTCCGGGGGGGGGAGGTCGAACCTCGACCCCCCCCTTGATTTTCCGAGGGTTGGGGGGTGTGGGGGGGGGGGGTTCTTGCCGGGGGAGACGAGCGGGGGGTGGTTCGAGCAAGGGGGGGGACTTCCGGAGGGCTGGGGGGGACCCCCAGGTTCCGGAGGAAGAGGCGGGGGAATTTTCCACAGCAAAGCGGCGGTGGATCACGCTCTCTCGATGTTGGTGATGGTGATGTTGATGATGATGGCGATGGTAGATATTTTGATGATCAGGATGATGTTGGTGGTGATGATTATGATGCTGGTGCTGATGCTTATGATGGTGGGGTGGTTATGCTGGTGGAATTGATGAGGCCGTTGATGATGATGGAGAATCTAGTGACGCGAATTGTGATTGTGATTGTGATGCTGATTGAGTTCGCGAAGATGGTAATAATGATGATTGCAATAACGATGACGATGATGATGATGATGATGATGATGATGATGATGATGATGGTCAGATTGATGATGCTCATGACGATGATGCTGGTGGTTGGGATGATGGTGATGCTGACGGTCCTGAGATTGATGATGATGGTGATGATGCTGATTACGGTGGTAGTGGTGATGATGGTGATGATCACGTCATCGCCATCGTCATCGACATGGTCATCGTGATTGCGCGATGGTGGAGCTGGGGGGCCGCAGTGAAGCGGGAACCCGTCCCGAGGACGAGGAGCTCACGCCCGACGACTTGGTCGTCAGCGTCCGTGCGTGGCGCTACGCGGAGGGCAGGCTGTCGGCGGCCGCGGAGGTCGTCGTGCGCAGGTCGCAGGCCCTCTCGGAGCTCCGCGGCCTGCTCGACGCCAGGTACCACGCCCTGCTCACGAAGCCGGACGCGGAGGCGGGAGATGCCGTTCTCGGAGGCCGTGTAATTTAGAGCGTGAGTTCCCTGCCCCGCTTTCACTTCCAGTGAACACCAAGTCATGCCACGCGCCTCCTCGTCAAGCGACCTGACCAGTACAGGCCGTAGTTTGGCATCGCTTGGTATCTCTTGGAAGCGAGGGTGGTCAAAAGCGAGGTAGGTTTGTTTTCCCCTAGTTAATGAGGGTGCGATAGGTGGGGGGGGGGGCAGCCACGAAGTGGGCCCCGGAAGCTGCAGGGCCGTCTGTGCACCGTGTTCGAGAAGGTGTTTCTTGAAGGTGGAGCGGCAAGAAAAACGGCGACCGAAAACGGCAACAGAAACGGTTGCGGGATTGAGAGCGGAACTGGAACCAGAAACAAAAAAAACAGCGACTGAATTGGCAAAGAAACGGCGACGGAACTGGCAAGGGAACGGCGAAACGGAACCGGTGAAAAAATTGCCCTGTCGTTTCCAGGGCCCGCGCGAGGGATGACGGAAAGGGGCCCTTGAGGGCCTCTAAGGGGGCCTCCAGGGCCCGAAAATGGCACCTCATTTCCTCCCCCACACTATCGCCCCCCCATTACATTTGCGCTCGACGTTTTCCAGTAGACTCAGGCACGTTCTTCTTGCATGGCATTCCCCCCCTCCTCCCCTCCGCCGCCTTCTCCAGCAGCGCTGGGCCGAGGAGGCGTGCAGAACTTGCGGGAAGCCCAGCTTTTCCTGCGGGCCTCTTCGCGCCCCCCTCCCTCCCCCACCCCCATCCATGCAAGTGGGTTCGCCTCCAGAGGCCTCCGCCGGCGAGGACGCCGGGGAGGACCGCCTCGAGGTCGTGGCCCTGGCGTCGGCGGGGCCGCCGCTGACCGTGAAGCGGTGCGCGACCCTGCGGTGCGCACGGGGCACCGCCTCTCTGTGCTATGCACGCCCGCCTCTCGCGCGGAGGTTCCCCTCCTGGGCCCGGCGGTGGCTCGACACTCTGCAGTCAACTGATGAGGAGGAGGAGGAGGATGACAACGAGGAGGAGGAGGAGGAGGAGGAGGAGAGGAGGAGGAGGAGGAGGAGGAGGAGGGAGGAGGGGGAGTTGGTGGGGAGGGAGGATGAGGAAGAAATGAGGATGGGCAGCCTTCCCAAGGGTACCTTCGCAGCCTTGCCCCTTTCGGCCCCTCCGTCGCGGCGTTCGCTAGCCGACCTCGTTCGGCAAGCGTTGACTTGGCCCTCCGAGGCCCTCACATCCCTACCGCGCATCCTTATGATACTCCTAGGCCTCCCAGATGGGGTCGGCGCAGATGGGATCGGAAGAGGCCCGAGTTATATCAGGTGCCGCCACGGGGGCGCGAAGTGCTTCGCGATTCGCGACTCCTCCTCCTCGTCCTGATCCTCCTCCTCTTCCTCCCCTTTTTCCTCCTCCTCCCCTTACTCTTCCTCCTCCTCCTCCTCCTCCTCCTCCTCCTCCTCGCCCTCCTCCTCATCCGCCTGTTTTTCTTCTTCTCCCCTGGGCAGGGCGGCGGGACATCGCGAAGCTATTCTCAGAAGGAAAATTCGAGACGCTTCGCGTAACCCCACCACCGAGATAGTTCCTGCGTGTACGTGGGCCGTTAGCCCAATCGGCCGGCTGAAATAACCCCGCCGTCGGTTTGCCGCTGCGTCGGCCCGTGTGCTTCCGAGACGGCTCGCTTAAGGTGTTCGCCCTCTCTCCGCTTTAGGAATAGTTTTGCTCGCGGCGTGCGCGGGCCGGGACTCACAGGACGCTGGCCTCGGCCATGTCTGGGCCCACCCTTTGGAGTCGGCAGCATGCAGTGGCTCCCCCGTCGTCGTTGGTGTGACGGCGGCTTCAGCTCCCCATCTTGCACATTGGCGTAGTGACAGTACGGTCAGCCTTGTGGGCATTGGCAGATAGGGTCGTCGGTCCTGCACCTGTTTGGCGCCCGTGTAAGACGTCCGCTGCAGTCACAGGAGTGCCTTCAGGCTGCACAAGACGCTCACCGCTCTGGTACCAGGGCTCTCTTGGTCACTCCCATGGAGGCGGCTGCACTCCCCTCTGATGCGTGCAGGCTGGCCGACGTCCAAGTGAGTGATTGTTTGGCTTGCCTGGCAGTCCGGCCCCACCTGCGGGTCCGTCCCTTCTTTTGCTCCCCCCTACGCTCGCTGGCACACGTTCAGCGTCCGGTTTTTTGCCTTCTCTGTCCTCCCCACCTGGTCTGCCCATCCGTGGCCGACTCGCCTCTGCTGCACTCCGGCAGGGTTCCGACCCGGCCCCACCTGCGGGTCCGGCCTGTGGTTGCCCACCTGTGGCCGCCTCGCCTAATCGTCTTGCATGTGCATTCCGCGCGTTCTCGCGCTAATCATCGCGCGCTGTGCCCCAGCCTCGTTCTGACCGCCCTCTGGACTTTTCCTTGCGGGCCGCAAATCAAAAAAATAACCCCACCAGTCACGCAGTGGCGGGCCTCTCCCCCGAGAGACCGCCAGATGACGAGGGAATTGGCGACCTTACACATGTGACATTGCGGCTGTTGGCTGCACCTCCATTCCTCCTCCTCCTCCTCCTCCTTCTCCTTACCGACACATGTGAACATTGCGGCTGTTGGTTGCACCCCCCCTTTCCTCCCCGTGGTCAGAGTCAGCCCTAGCTGCGTTCCAGCGCTCCATGAGGTGGTCGCGGCAGCTGCGAATCTCGGCGACTATCGTGACCGGTCCCTGGAAGTGCAGTATACCGGCTCTTGGGCCAGCGTGTCCTCGCTCATCGTTGCTGCCCCGGACAGTCACTGGTTTCGGAGACGATGACGACACACCAGCTCCCCCCCGGGCAGCAGTGCGGGCCGCGGAGTGAGTGCTCTGTTGGTAGTAGCCGTCCCCCAGCTCTCTCTGTGGTTTGTTTCAACCCTGACTACACCCCAGCGCCTATGTGCTGGCCGCGGCTACAGCGTACCTCGGCGACCGTCGGCCGTTACCCGCTTGGCGGCAGTACTGGTGCTTGGGCCTGCGTGTCCTCTTCCATCGTTGCTTCCTGGCTGTCGCTGGTTTCGGAGGCGATGGCTGACGCACCAGCCCCACCATGGGCAGCGGTGTGGATCGTGGAGTGAGAGTTCTGTAGGTCCCTGCCCTGTGTCAGCCGACCCCGCGTACGGCGGTGAGACCTCGCGCTGAGTGGTTCAGCCTTCAGCGTGTCGCTTCGGCGCTACCTGCCTGATCGGCTAGGTTGGCTGCGCGGACTGGCGCTGTCAGGGCGACTCCTCCGCTGCGTAGCACTGCGGCTGCTCACCTCTGTGTGGCTGGCGCCTAGGTGCGTTCGCCGTAATGTAGCGCATTTTGCTTAATGCATGTGCACATGCGTTTTCTCTGCGTTTTGTTACTGCAGGTGTGTTGCCTGTTGTAGCTAATCCGCCTCGCCTGGTGGCCCAGACGACGCCTTCCGCTCCCTGTCCGCCGCCTCGGAGCCGCCGACCAAAAAGTAACCCCACCAGCATGAATTCCCGTGCCTGGTGATCTCGCTTCCATGGTACTCGCACGTTGCAACTCCCCAGGCGATTCCGCAGCTGGCAGCTTCCACCCCTCGGTGCAGCCCAGCCCCGGCGCAGCTTCCCTCGGCGGTGGGTTTAGTCTGCTTGCTCGGCGCGCGCGCGCCGGCAATTAGGGTGCTCGCGGCCTGTGCTAATCCTTTGACGCTGTCGGCGCGCTCGCCTGCAGCTGCGACTGCCCATCCAGAGACGATCCGGCCCATCCAGAGACGATGCCCAGATGATTTGCCTCGATCAGGGAGCAGGTTTCAGGGAAAGCCCCGCCGCCTTCTGAGAAGGCCTCCTCCCTCTCACGTCCCCCCCTCGGTCGCCGCCGACAGCAGGGGCCTGGGGGGGATCCTCTGGCATGGCAGCAGGCAGGCCGGTGCCGATCTGCACTCTCGCTGCTGTCGGCCAGGCTCCTGGCCAAGCTTCCTGCCAAGGGCCCCCTGCGAGCCTTGGTGTGCGGGGCGGGGGGAGGAGGAGGAGGAGGAGGATGAAGAGGAGGAGGAGGAGGACCAGTGTAAACACAGACTCCATCAACGATGTCGGAATTCACCCTCCCTCCCTGCTTCCTCTTCAGAAGCCCCTACAACGGTTCATTTCCATTGAGGGAACTGCCTCCTTGGAAACAACCGTTTGAAGACCCTGAATCATGGCAAAACATTGTTCTCGAGATTCCAACGCCGCGGATCAACATGACTGTTGTTTCTTGACGATCCGGGATCGTGCCAGAACGCCTCCCTTGGATTCAAATAAACACCGCGAATCAACGTAACGGTTGCGCCTGCAAAATCCGGAATCCGTCCAAAACCCCATGTGTGGTACGCTGATCATGGGAATCCGTGAACATAGTGCACATTGTATCAACGAATGTGCGCGGCGCTGAGGCGAGAACCACCTTTTGAAAACGAACCGCCCTCACTCCGTGAAGCTCTTGCAAGGCGTTAGTGGCGAAAACCACATTTTAAAACCGCGTTGTCCTCAATCCGTGAAGCCCTTGTGAACTTTTGAAACAAATGTGCTCGGCGCTAAGGCGAGAGCCACATCTTGAAAACGAGTCGCCATCATCCCGTGGAACTCGTGCAAGTTTTGTTAACCGATTGCGCGCGACGCTAAGGCGAGAACCACATTTTGATCATAATCTGGCCTCCATATGTGAAGCCGGAGCCACGTTTGAAAGGAATGGAGGAGGAGGAAGAGGACGAGGAGGAGGAGGAGGAGGAAGCGGAAGAGGAAGAGGAGGAGGAGGAGGAGCTGGAGGACAAGGACGAGGAGGAGGAGGAAGAGGAGGAGGAGAAGGAGGAGGAGGAGGAGGAGCTGGAGGAGTAGGGTGGGGAGGACAAGGAGGAGGGAGGAGGAGGAGGAGGAAGGAGGGGATGGCACCCCGGGTGCGGCGGGAGTTAGTGTCAGCCTCAGGTGGGGCGAGTCGCAGCTGAACGCCACCGACAGCGACAGCCCAGGGAGCGGGCAAGGGGCCGCGTGCCCCCGCCTTCGGGGCGAGGGGGCCGAGTTGGGAGGGGGTTGTGGTGCAGCGTGGCCTAGGAGTGGTGGGCTCCTCCACCCACTTGTCCTCCTCCTCTCTCCCCCCGTCCTCCTCTTCCTCCTCCTCCTCCTTCCCCTCATCCTCCCCCCACCCTCCTCTTCCTCCTTTTCCTCCTTCTTTCTCCTCCGCCTCTCCTCCACCTCCTCCTTCTCCTCCTCCTCCTCCTCCTCCTCCTCCTCCTCCCTCTCCTCCTCCCTCTCCTCCTCCCTCTCCTCCTCCTCCAACTCCTCCTCCTCCTCCTCCTCCTCCTCCTCCACCTCCTCCTCTTTTTCCTCCTCCTCCTCGTCTCATGGTCCGCCGGCCTCGGCCAGGCCTGCTGCCAGCACGGCGGCTCGTGGCGGCGAGGCCGTCGCTCCCCGGGTGAGGGCCGCCCCATTTTGGATTGGCGACGAGTCCGAGGGGGACGCGCAAGGACCTACTGGTGCACTATGTGTCCTCCTTGGAGGCGTGCGTCCGACCCGAACATATAGTATAGCCATCTACGCCGGTGAGCCTGGGGGCGAATGAGGGGGAGAAGGCCTTCTCAGAAGGCTCGGAAGTCCCCCTGGCTTTCCGGGAACTACTCTGGCCCGATGAGAGACACCGAAAGCCTCTCTCAGAAGGCCGGAGGCCTTCTGAAAAGTCCCGCCGCCTTCTAAGAAGGTCTCCTTCCCACTTCCCCCCCTCGCTCGCCGTCGCTCAGAGGCGGGAGTCCCAGGTCCCAGGCCTCCGACGTCATCATTTTACGACGTGGGCCCCCCCAGAGGCAAGGGCCCCTCACCCCTAGCGCGTCCTTCGTCTCGAGTTGTTCCTTCCGCTCTCCCCCATCGCGCTCTTTTCCTTTGCGCTCTCGTGCCTGAGTTCGCTTCCTGTGCACCCCAGCGCTTGCTGTCAGGAGCTTAAAAAAAACGTTCACGTAGATGAGTCCGTGCTGGTTGCGGGAGCACGCATGGACTACGCGAACGGTCGTATCACGCGGCTGGTCTCGCGGACTGGGAGGCCGTGTCCATGTACGTGGTTGGGCGCATACCTCCTTTGTTGGCTCCCGGTGCTGACCGGCGTCTGACCGTCTTGGACCACATGCCGCCCGCAGGCTCCAAAGTCTCCTCTCCTCGAGTCGTTCCCGACGGCCCCGGGGCCCGGCGAGGGCCCCGCGAGGCCGAGAGCCGCCGAGAGCCTTCCGCCACGACGCCCGCACGACGCGAGGCGGTCGTGGCGGGGCCCCGCCCTGGAGCGCGGCGGCGAGCGCCCCGCTGCCACGCTCCCTGCGCAGCCTGCGGCGGCCGCTGGCGGAGCTCCGGGACCTGCGCGACGGGGCGACCCTGGTGGTGCGGTCGGCACGCGCTGCCGCGCGGGGCCCCCCGGGCGAGCCGGCCAGGCCGGCGGGGGCGCCGCCGGCCGCGGCGGCGCGCGCGAAGGCCAAGGCTCGGCGCCAGCAGTGGGTGCGGGGTCGGGATGGGTGCGGGAAGAACGTGGGTGAAGACCAGCAGCAGCCCCTGTTCACTTTGAACAGGGCTCGCTGGCCGCGCCGCCGCGGACGTTGTCCATGTGAGACAGAAGGCCGCCTGCCCAAGAGCGGCCTTTTGGTCAACATCTGTTGTTATGCATTGTGCCCATTTGTCCTTACCCATTTGTGAAGCAGTGGCGAAGCGCCCAGGCTCGCCTATAGGCCTACTCGAGGATGTTCTAAGAACCCAGTGTGGTGTGCACGAGATGATCTCATTGTCTTTCTGGCGGGGACCGTCCTGTTTTAGCACATCGGGCCTCTATGTTCTAAGGACGTCGGTTTGGGATCTCAGAACACTCCTGGGTTCTGGAAGATTTCGCGGTATGCCTCTAGGGCTGCCGGGGCGGTCGGTCCCTGCGCAAGACGTCGGGCGTCCAGAGGTCGGGGAAGGAGCTCCCAGGAGCGGCCGCGGGCCCGGGAGTCCGGCGTCCCAGACGGGGTCGCGCGCCACCAGAACAAGATCAGGGCGGCAGGATTTTCATCGGAGATCGGTAGGCCTCCCAGCCTGACACGTCGATTACAGTCGACCCGCAGAGTGAGGATAGGCATCCTTCCCAAGGGTAACCTTGCATCCTTGCTTCCTGGGTCCATCCCTGGACACTCTCGTTGGCCGCGCCCCGCTCGAAACGCTTCGCAGTGGGCGTCCAAGGGCCTTGCATCCTTACCGCGCATCCTTAATCTGCGGGTTGACTGTAGTGAATTGGCAGTTCTCGGTTCGCGAGAGGGCGGCACGGCCGTTATGCTTGCGGGTCCAGAAGCCGTCGGCTTCGCTTCTGTAGGCCGCTTGCACTCAAGGGTGGCTTACTGAACGGGAGGGTTGGCCACCGCCGGTTATAGAAGTTTCGCCATCCTGGTGCCCCCGCCGGGCCTCGGGGCCGTCAACCAACGACGCGGGATGAGAAAGCGGCCCTCGGGCAACGGGGCGGGGCTCGCGGGGGTCGCGCGCTGAAGAATTCAGTTCGTCGCATGTCTGGAAACAGAGGAGCGAGAAGCCATGACCATCGTTTCCGGTGATCAAGCAGTGACAGAACCACAAAAAAAAACTCGGGAGGCTGAACGGATTTCTTGGATCGGTGCTGGGGCCCCTGGCACGCTCCGCGCGCCAGGGATGGGGGTCCAGCGCTGGTCCCAGAAGTCCGCGCGGAGCTCTGAGCTTTTAGGTTGATGCCATTGTCTTTCCGAGGTGCGTTCCAGTACTGCCCAGCATGACCAGGACTGTTCACATGGTTTCGCCCTGGCTGCAGAAGCGGGGGCCGTCACATCAGGTGGCAGTCCTGGAGAACGCATCTCGAGCCAATCGCATCGTGGCATCGCCCCTGTCCTCGGGTAAGTCGCTCCAAAGCGTTCCAAAACCACGGGGCCCACAGGTGTACACCACCACCACCACCACCACCACGACCACCACCACCACCGCCACCACCACCACCACCACCACCACCACCACCACCACCACCACCACCACCACCACCACCACCACCACCACCACCACCACCACCACCACCACCACCACCACCCCCACCCTGATCCCCCCCCCTCTCCCAGAACGGAGGGGGAGGAGGGCGAGGGCGGAGGAGGGGGGGAGGCATCGACGCTCTGGTGGCGGTGTGTGTGTGTGTGTGTGTGTGTGTGTGTCCCTGGGGCCCGCAGCGGCGCTCCAAGGGGGGCCCTGTGGCGCCCGAGGTGCCGCCCCCGCGGAGAGAGCCGCCGGGCTCTCGGCGGCGGGGCGCGCCGCGGGGGGCGCGCCGCCCTCGAGGCTCGAGCGGCTGCCCTCGAGCGGAGAGGGCAAGAGCACCGCTGAGGATTTGTTGGGGCCACGTTTGAGGCGGGCGTGTCCCCCCTACAGGGGGGTTTTCGACGAAACATAAAAAACAGTACCCCAAAAGTACCCCAAAATGGTCAAACAATGTTTAAAAAATAGTCCCCAGACAATTGTTGGGCTATTGGCGGATATTTTTGGGGGGTATTTTTCATTTGTCGTCGAAAATCCCCCTGTAGGGGGAGAGGCCCGACTTGAGGCTGCGTTTGAGTCGGGCATGTCCCTCTGCAGGAGGACTGTTCAAAAAGACAGGGGGTGAAAATAGTCTGGGGGCGATTGGTTCCACCATGCTCCACCATTTTTGCACATTCTTTACATCTCTTTCGTTTTTTCCCAAATGCGCCTGTAGGAGGGCACGCCCGGCCTCAGGCTATTTTCGGCCCCGCGACCGTCAGAATATGGCTCGGGACAAAATCCAGTCCCCTGTGGACCCAGACGTGCGACGTCCTGGCTGTTTCGCTGCGAGGTCCCTGGGAGTCCCGACCCTTTCCCTGGGGCCGGTTTCTCATCCTGGGCCGCTCGTTGACGGTCCCGGGGCCCGGCGTGGTCCCCGGGAGGGCGACAGTGTCAAGATCTTGCCGTCCTGAGTTTGAGTCAGCGCGATCGTGTCTGGGAAGGTCTGGGCCCACGCTGTGGGCAATCCTCACGACGCCAGGTGGAGGGAGCGGGGGGGGGGCAGTGCGGAGGGAGCAGGACGCCGCAGTGGGAGCCCATTCGCTTGCGGGAAGGCCCCTGCATGGGTTCTTGGCGCGAGGTGTCCCGGGGGCAAGACTCGAGCCTGCTCCGGGGCTCAAGGGGCTCAAGGGGCGGGGGTCGGTGCAAACGGGGGTCAGCCAGGGCGCTGGATGCAGGATCTTGCAGAGCCAGGGCTGCATTGGCCAGGGCTTGCGCGCAGGATCCTGCAGGATCCTGCGGGATCTGGTAAAACTTGGCTGGCCCAGGTTTGCCTTGGCCTGGCCGGCACGTCGACGTCCCCGACTGCTCTTGTGTCGGCCGCGAGCCATGCAGTATACCACTTAGGCCAGGGAAGGCCATGCCAAGACTCCCCCCCTCCCCCCCCCGCCCTCTTGCCGGCCACGGGAGGAGGAGGAGGAGGAGGAGGAGGAGGAGGAGGAGGAGGAGAGAGGAGGAGGAGGGTTGGAGGAGTAGCAGGGGGAGGAGGAGGAGGAGGAGGAGGAGGAGGAGGAGGAGGAGAAGGAGGAGGAGGAGGAGGAGGAGGAAGAGGAGGAGGAGGAGGAGGAGGAGGAGGAGGAGGAGGAGGAGCTTGCCTCCCCTTGGACAGCACTGTGCCTCGAGCCTCGAGGGGGCGTCCTGGCGGGCCCTTGGACGCCCCTCGCGGGCTCAGCAGTCAGCCGCCCGCCCGAGAGGCGCAGGCCACCGGCGCCGGCAGCTCTCCCAGCGTCGTCGTGGCCGGCTGCCGCCCTGGGCGGGAGAGGGCCCTCGTCATCGAGGCTCGGAGAGGAGAAAACGGCACACAGTCCCAGACATGACCGCGAGAAATACAGAACATCCGGACGCCTATTTTTTTTGTTGTCTTTTTATGATTTTCAGCCTCCGGGAGTCCTCGCCAGGCCCCCCGGGCCCGTCGAAGCATGGCTCAGTGTGAAAAAATTGGCCATGGGGAGCGGGTCGGGACTCACAGGGACCGTGGACCTCAGGGGTGGGGTCCGAGCAGATGGGGTCGGAGGATAACGCCGCATCGCCGATGCATGGGCGATGCGGCTCGATGATGACCTGACTTTCTCCACGCTAACGTCGCCGATGCACCGCCGACGTCGCCGATGCCTCGTCCATGCCTCGGGGATGCGGCACGAGTCTCCGACCCCACCTGCTCGGACCCGATCGGGGAGGCCTCCAGGGGATCGCGCATCTGAGAAACGCTGGGACGCCGCTTCAAGGACCAACTTGGGCTCAGGAGTGGCTCTGGCGCCTGGGCCACTCCTCCGATCCGGGCCGGTTCTGGCGTTCCCAGCGGTAGCACGATGGCCGTCGACGAGCAAAGAGGAGAGGCACAAGCAGCAAAGCAGCAAGACGTCCTCTAGCAAACAATAGAGTGGTAACCCGAGAGGGGGGCGGGGCCCCCAGAGGATTGGCAATCGCCAGAGGATTGGCAATCTCCAGAGGATTGGCAATCCCCAGAAGATAGGCAAATCCCCAGAGGGTTCGGAGGTCCGCGCGGATCTCTCCGGCGGCGCCTCGGGCGTCGCCCCCCCCCGGGAAGCTCAAGGCGCGCCACCGGAGGGGTGTCCAGCGCCGACCGAAGGAATCTGCGCGGGCCTCCGAAGGCGTCTGGTTGTGTTAAGTCGGGCGTGTCGCTTGAACCAAAGACAGTACAGCATATTCTGGGGACGACTTGTCTACCATGTTTGACCATGTTTGAGTATGGTTTGGCTATTTTTCCAGTCTTGCATCCCCAGTCCCACTGTAGGAGGACATGCCCGACCCAATGTCTGTGCAGCGCCTCCGTCTCCCAGAGGTGGCCCATCCCGAGGCTCGCGCCGCCTCTGAGCCAGGGGACGTCCCCCCTGTGACCGCCGAGGTCGATGCTGGTGCGGAGTAGCCGCCCAGCGTCTCCGAGGTTAGGAGCGCCCGGACTCCAAGGCTCTCGCTCGTGGGGGAAGCCGAGAGAAAAATAGGGGCACGAGCACGGTTGCATCGACGTCTCTTGTGGCGCGGGAGGCGGTAGTTGTGGATCGGGGAGGAGTAGTAGCAGCAGCAGCAGGATGATGAGCAGGAGGAGCTGGATGATGAAGGGTGGGGACGAGGAAGGCGAGGACGACCATGCAGGAAGATGAGAAGGGGGAGGGGGGAGGCGGAGGAGGGGTAGGAGGAATTGGAGGAGAAGGAGGGGGGAAGAGGAGGAGGAGGAGGAAGAAAAAGACGGAGGCATGTGCGGCTGGGCGACCAACATCGCATTTGGTCAAACGATACACGCCGTGGTCATGCGGAGTGTTGGTTTATCCTGTTTCTGATTCTGCTATGGCAAGTATCGCTGTCTTCTTCGATTTGCCACCGCCGACGCATCAAACCTTCCGGAGCCGCGACGGAGTAGGGGATCGCTTCGAGAGCGCGGCTAAGA